TGGTGTCTGCTTCCAAAGCTCCCCGAGCATCAGACCACAAAGAAAGCACACCTGAAGCATCCTTAAATTTCCCTGTCACCAGGCAGGATGGACATGTGGACAGGAGGAACGCTGGGAGAATGAGCAGCACCTTTTGTGCTGACCCATCGGAGGAGAGATCAAAGATCCCTCATACTTCGGCTAGGAGTTCAGCCCAACGTCTCTCCGTGTCTCTTCCCGGTTGCTCACCAAATTGGCCATACTGTTGCAGGTTTTTATACAGCAGGAAAAAACGACATGGTAGGAGGTATTATTACGGGAGCGGCTGTCCCTTGTTTTGCATATCAAAATCCACCATTGCAGTGCTATCCCACAGAGAAAACATTAACCTCTGAGTGTCACCTATTGTCTTTTCCTTATTGCCAGAAAGATTTTATTATGTGCTGACAAACTCCTGCTAAGTGTTACCTCTGAGTGGCTACATCTCAGTGGTGAATGAAGCCTGAAAGATTTGTCTTGCACGTGGTGCCTTGTGAGGCAAACTTTCCAAGAAAAATGCAGAAGTACATTTTCTCTGTGCGTGAAGGTTTTCAAAATTTTGCGTGGTTCCAAAGTCTTGGCACAGGATTGAGCTGAGCAAGTCAGCCTTTCCAAAACCAGGATGCTGCACTATCCATAGTGTTCACAATGGGAAGGAGAAGGGAAATTCCCACTGTTATTTTCTGGTTCGTTGAAACTGAATGGTGAAGTATGGTATGATCTCTTGAAACCAAGATTCACCACTGAGTCACGGTTCTCCACCTACAAAGAAAAGCAGCGAACCGGGAGGCTGGCGGAGGCCGCGGCGGAAGGCTGCGGCCGGGCCGGGGGGCAGATGCTGCGGGTCCCCCCCTCGCAGCCCACGGTAGGTGTGCGGGCAGGGAGGAGGGAGGTTTTTAGGCGTTTCGGAGGAACCCGGGTGCCCGCGGCTTCGCGTTAAGGACCGCGGACTTTTTGTCTTTGATCGGCTGGGCCAAATACGCTTTGCACCGCGGAAAACAAAACCCAAACCCGGAGGTTTTCCTTTTTTTTTCTCCCCCCAACCCCCCCCCAAAAAAAAAAAAAACCCCAAAAAAACCCCAAACCGACGAGAGACGCGGTAAAACGACGGGGCCGCAGAGACCCTCGGGGTGGGAGGCCGCGGCGCTGCCGCAGCTCCGCGGGCGCG